TATATATATATATATAGATATGTTTTATGTGAATTCTTCATATTTCTCATTCTATTTCGAGATCATAAATACGAACAAGAAGATAGAGAAAGACAGTTGAATGGTGGGATTTAAATTTCGAGTTGGCAATATGCCTTTCCGAAAGCGCACAGATTTAAGCATCGTTTCGTACTATTCTTTTTCATATTTTTGCTTATTTTTCTTATATATTTTAATCAAAATATATTATGGACGTAATAAAATAAAATGTATAAAAAAACATTTATGGCAAGATAATTTAAAAATACGCAATTATTCTTAAAAATTGTCTCTTCATTACAATTATATTATATTTTATGATATTAATTTGCATTGAATCTGCATCAATTTTGTATTTTTCGAAATGATATCATTACATACTAATAATAATATTACAGTTACAATTGGTAACAAAATATTCTCATTATGATTATTTTACTCTGCATCTCTAGTATTCATTTTGTAATTAAATAAATTTCTGGTTTGTTTCCCTCCAAATTATAGGAAATATTTATCTAAAGTGTTAAATTTATTATCGATTACAATATATATCATTGCAATAAGAATATTTTGAATTGACTGATGCATATCGTTGCTTCATCACTGTTTGTATTAAAAAATATTCCGCAATAATAAAAATTTTCAAATTTTGCATATGTCAAGACGACAAGAACGTGACGAGAAGCGAGTGTACTAGGTAGCCAAAAATCATCGTCAGCATAAATATTGCCGTAAACATATGTATGTGGATGTTGTCCACTAGGAGAATGGCGTCGTGCCAGGAAAGTTTCACTACCACGATTATGCGGGCGCCGAAACTACACCGAGAGATATGAAATGGGTGCAGACGCAGAAAACTCGTCTGAACGTACACAAACAAATTACATATTACGGTTATAGATAGCGAAACACTGTTCTGAAAACTGAGCAACAACTAGGAAAAGAGAGTAGCGCGAGGATTTTCGTTCGATGTTCAAGTTTTACGAATGAATTTGAGATTCGTGATAGATTGCAATAGTCATGAGTTGTGATCTAGCTTTCATATATTTTCTACGCTTTTAAAGAAACGTTGCATGGATTAATTTTAGCAAAAGATTATATTTATTACTTTCGATTCCAATGTTGCCTTCATTTATTTAAATAAGAAAATTTTCGTAAAATAACTGAAATGTGTAAAAAAATTGAATGTGAATTAAAATAGGAACATTATTTTTGGAATATTTCGCCTATTTCATATTAAAAAAAAATGAACAGTCATACACTCGATGTATAATTAAGTTTAGTTGAACATATATTCAAAATTAGTATTAGTTTAGGCAGTAAAGCGATTTTTATCGAACAACAAATACTCAATGTACCAGCTTAAAGGAAGTACAATTTTCTTTCAAAAAATTTGCATTGTACGGTCAGAACGTACTTTTCTTTTACAAGCTTCTTAAATTGACTACCGAAATGGAAGTTGCGGCGAGCGAGTATAATCACGTTAAAGGTAATCACGAATAGTTTCAACAGAATAAACATTCAAGAAGTCGAAATTCGATTAAATCATGAACGTGTTCTATCAACATGACAATCAAAATGGCAAATTTGAGAGAACCAAATAAACTGAAAGAGTATGAGAGAGATAGAAAAGATAATGGAAATCATAGAAAGATTTAGAGAATACATTATTATACATCATGGTAAAAGAAGGTTGAATAACATTGTACAGCACTGGTATGGGATAAGGATTGTTTAAACGCATGTGGCATTATTTATTAAACCACTACACTGGCAAATCCATTTATATGTGAGAGCTAGGACACATGAGAATATAGAGACAATATTGTTTATGAGTTATGTTGTGTAACTGTTATTTACGTCAGCACGGAATTAACTTTACCTGCTTTACAACTAGTAATATCATTAAATATAAGTCAAATTTTTAGTTTAATATAAATATCTATTATTCTTTAAATTGTAAATTAAAAAATTTTCTTGTTTTAAAACTGCTTGTTTCATATGTTGTTTTTGTTGCGTGTCATTCGAAAAGTACTGAACAGTGACGGATGGTATTGGACAACTTAAGTAAGGAAAAAAAAAACAAAAATCGGCGAATGCCACAAAAATCATTATAAGCACATTTATTAATATTTAAAGAAAACAATGAATGAAGTAATGAAAAGACTAATTGCGTTATTTGCAGAGAAAATTTTGATAAAAACTGGATTTAGTACAATGTTTGTGAAAGTTAGGTTTATAAAAATTGTACCAATCTTGAAGGAGCTTATGTTTTTATATTAAATCTAAAGTTTATATAGCCAAAATAAAAAAATAACAATTTGTAATTGAAAATTAGTGATTAATAAACATATTTTTTTTTTAATATTTTTTAATATTTCTGTGCAAAATCACTCTTCAGTTTAAAAAAACCGTTAAAATGTAAATATTTAAAAATCTAAAAATCTTGGTTATATTTTTGTTTTTAGAAAAATACAATTATATTACACTTAATTTTTTTCATCTAACAAAATAAATACCTAAGGTATTCAATTAGATTTTTTTCTCTATGTACACGTATAACTCATAACAGATAAATGATAAAAATTAGATAACAATTACTGATAGTATGTTTCTTTAAGATTTACGACGAGTGTAAAATGTAATATTTTGATTCTTAATTAAAAATTAAGTCAGTTTAGTGTTCAAAACTTCTTGGAAAAATATAAGAATAAAACATGTTAAAAATATCTTAATCTATTTAAGAAAATTTTTGCGTAAACATCTATTTGTCCTCCACATTCAAATATGTTTCTACGTATTATATTTAGGTATTTCTAAATAATTGTTTAAATACGTCTTAATAAATAATTTGTATAAATGAGCTTCTAATTGAAAATTCAATTATTGTTAGTTCATTAAATTAAACAAATATTAGATCATATCTCTTTACTTTACGACACATATAATTATGGATATTTCGTCAACACGGATAAGCTGAATTGCGTAGGTGCGTATGTATTTCGCGTAGTACATTGAACGTGTGGTGCATCCAATTGGTTCGTATCGCGATTATTAAGGGTGCAACGCACGTTCGTCGCCTATGTACGCATGGCCGGTTTGATTCACATGTTATATATGTGTGAAAGCATGACTGCGAGGTATTTTGACGCGGATGTTCCGGAGGAATAGCATCATGTTTGTACAGGAGAAAGCGTGCGGTATGACACAGTAAATGGAGTAGGAGGCAAGACGGAAACTCTCGCCGCTGTAGAAATGGAGGTATGGTAAATTACTACAAAATAG